AGAATACAGTTTGACTGATTCTAATCCCAGGCGACGTATTCATAGCGACATCAAAGAAGGCCTGGAAGATATTACCAGGGAGGTCATGGCTTCCATTAATTCCTATTCAAGGCAACGGGGCCGCATAGTCGAAGAACGGTCTGCTCTTTACGGATACAGGAGGGTAAATTCTTACGGAGCTGATACAATATTAGATCTTCTGTTGGTTTATCGAAAGTACCGGGGCAGGAAGGTCACTCTTCCCGTTCGAAGACACGTTTATCTCCATCAACATTTTACCGGTACGATTACTCATGTTTTTAACATTTATATATGTCGCAGTGTTAACTCAGTAAATGTATACTGTAGTCTGCTGTAGTCAATATATACATTTTTTAGGTGCATATATTTACTAAAGTTAACACTTTAATTATGACGTATATAGAGTGAAATTATTATATCAAAAATTAATTAATCTTTTAATATCCACGAGACATATTTTTCTGTCATGTGTTAAATAATAATGTTACACGTAAGCGTTAATCAAAATATGAACATCCCCTAATGTTTAAGTAATTAAATTATCAGAGTACATTTGTTTGAAACACAAAATTGTAATTGCTCTGCCTTAAAAGTAACATAAGTTGTAATTTATTGAGTTATGATTTTATGCATATAGCCATTTTAATTAAAATAAAAGATTTCGTTAGGTTCTAACATAATTGATTTATAATGACATATGAAGAAATATTATTGAAAGAGCTATTACTAAATACTAGTTTAAATTTAACAGACATTAAATGTTCTCGCAGGATTAGAGATGCGCGAGACAGTAAATGGCATCGAAGTTCAACCACGACAGAAATCAGATGACAAATCTATTCATAGTTTACTGCACGGTGGCTTTCTGAATCTCAATTTCAACTCTCAAGAGGAAGATCCGGTGCAAAGCAAGATCATCAATTTTATCCTACCTCTGTCAGGCCGCTACGAGATCTTCCAAAGGTTCCTCCAAAATTACGAGGATATCTGTTTGACTAGCGGCGAGAAGACGTCATTGCTCGTCGTACTCTACCAGCACAAAAGTGAGAACACCTTTAACAAAACAATAGATTTGATTGAGCAGCTCAAGTACAAATATCGCAGTGCCAGCATAGAGATTCTACCGGTCTCCGGGGACTTTTCGAGAGCTCGAGCTCTGGACTTGGGTGCGTCGAAGTTGCAGGCCGATGATTTAATGCTGTTCATCGACGTGGACGTTGTATTCACGGGCTCAGCGCTGAACAGGATGCGCCTGAACACGCTACCAGGCCGAAGAATATATTTTCCGATAGTCTTTAGTCAGTATGATCCTAAAGTCGTTTACGGCGACGCCAGGAAGCAGGACAAGTTCATCATAAACGAGATCTCCGGACACTGGAGGCAGTACGGTTTCGGAATAGTTTCACTGTACAAGAGTGACTACCGTACTGTGGGCGGTTTGGATCTCTCGATTCAAGGCTGGGGCAAAGAGGACGTGGAATTCTTCGAAAAGGCAGTTAAGTCAGGCCTCGATGTCTTTAGGGCGGCGGACAGGCATCTGGTGCACGTATATCACGAGATAGAGTGCAGCAGAGAGCTCTCTAGCCTCCAATTCTCCATGTGCATGGGATCCAAGGCTGATACGTACGCCGGAGTCGAAACTTTGGCCAACATGATTTACAGTAACCCGAACATATTACGCTTCGCCAAAGATAGGAGACAGAAGAAGACGAACCCTGCTGGTTAATGATGAATCTGTCAAATTGAAATTATCGGCTGTTGAATACAATTTTATTAGAAATCGTAGGGGAAATTGTAAAAATATTTTTCTCATTACGCACTCGCGCCTCGATAGTGACTTCAGTTACACGAATGTAACATCGAAGGGAACCGAATCATGAACTTTTCGGGTGTCAGAGTATCTTGTTAGTCATAACTGTTTGTGTAAATATGGAGTACGTTTGTCTGAGTCACGCAAGCAAATAAAAAAATCAATACCAATATTTTATTGTATGGCGAAATGTATATATCGAAGCTTCAATCGAGAAAACAATTTTCTAAAGTTTGATCAAATATGGTGTCACGATTTTCGAAGACAGCTAATCGAAGAAAATAGATAGAAAACAGATAAATCTGGCGATCGATAAAGATCACCAAAGTCATTGCAGGCATCCGTGGTGAAAAAATATTCATAATATCTCATAAAATTATTTAGAATTTTTTATATTTTAAATTTATGAAAATTTCTAAAAAAATATCTTGAAATTCTTTAAATTTTTTATGTTTTCTTTAAAAATTATAAATTAAAAAATTTTAAGGTATTTCAGAATTCACGTAAAAATTTTAGAAAAGATGTAAACTTTTTCAACATTTTGGAAAGTATTTCAGATCATTTAATCTGAAAAATTTTCTAAAAAATTAATATATAAAAATTATGAAAAATTATAAAATTTATATAAAAATTCTGAAGAGTCATACAAAGAGTTCTAAGAAAAATTTTCACCAAGGATGCTAATAAAATTGTTACGTTAAGAAAATATGTAATATAGTTTTCGTCATTAGTTTATGTGATGATATTACCTTCTACGCCTAATGATCTTTTCTTTTAGCTTTCTTGAGGCTAAAAACAAATAAATGTCGTTCTCTTTTACAAATACAATGGCCGACAGTCTACAGAAATCACGCGTAATGATAAGCATTTATAAAATCGTCAGCCTCTTAGATAGTAAATTTAAGTTTTATAAGTAAATGTGATATTATCGTGCCTTTAAAATATTTCTTCACAATTTCATGTGTACTGCCAAATGTAAACACACCGTTACAAGTATTGACATAGATGTAGATACTCCTAAATTGTCGCATTACGCGCTTTGCATTTTATATTATACATTTATACGTAAAAAGTCCTGTCTGCAATAATTGGAATAATACTCACGCTTTACTGAATAAAATTCTTATGTTAAGTAATAATATCATTTTTAATACTTTTCATTCTCTAAACTTGCTTATATAAAAAAACACACCTCGAAAAATCTTTCTTGAATGTCATTATTTTAAACGAAGTATTTAATTATTTGGTACACAATACAAAATATCTATATAAAACTTAAATCTATTAACCCTTCATGGTCACACTTCTAAAAAGCCACACGTTGGTTACTCTGACTTAAAATGACTCGACCCATCTTTAAAGTGTTACTAAATCGACAGTATTAGTTGCAATGATTTTAAAAAAATACAGTATATAATTTCATCTTTCAAGAAAATGGAACAATGATGTTTTTATGAAAAATTTAATTTTAACATTTAAAAAAAATCTTAAACATGTATTAGAATTTAGCGTGAAAGTTACATATACATCGTCTTTCACGTTAAATTCTAATATATGTTTACGATTTTTTTTAGTGTTAAAAATGAATTTTTCATAAAATGTTCATAAAATTTTAACACAATGTGACCATGAAGGGTTAAAACAATATTTATACTTGTTTATTAATTTACATCATATAATCAATTTATTTATTAAAGTATCGTAAAAACATTTAATTGATGTCTTCTAACATTTTAAATATATCTTAAATATATTTTGAGCATTTTTCAGTTTTATTTAGATGTACTTTTATCTTTGCAAATTAAAATATACAACATAAACATTCTTCAAATATCAATGTAATTGTTTATTTTGATACGATTGTAATTTTTATAATTGAAGCAATGCCGCAGTCTTCATTGTTATTTAAAAATATTTTATTATTATAAGTTCTAAACAAATCTTTCTAGATATGTATGAATGTGGAATCAGTTTATTCTCTCTCTCTCTCTCTCTCTCTCTCTCTCTCTCTCTGTATTTGACCTCAATATATTATTATAACTTTCTTATCAATATATTTAAAGTAAGTGTATTAAAAAATCAATCATTCATCGAATTCAATTTGAAGAGATTGGAGTTTCTGGGAAACTCTGTAATCTCTGAAGCGCGAAGCGGGTCAAACTTCAATTAAAAATAAACATAACTGCTGTGTTATGAGAACCGAGAAATAAATCGATTTAATAACTCGTGCTACATGTGATAACTTATCGAACTTACGTTTGACGTTTGACTCAACGAAAGGAAGACAAATATAATTAGAAATGTATCAGTGATAATTTGTAACATACATTTTGTTTGACGATAGATAACAAAATATTATTTCCTGGAAAAATAACCCGATGTTTCCTTATATTGCACCTTATATGAGTCTTCAGAACTGACATTGTTATTAAACTATAGACAACACAAACATTATATAATAATATTTATTACATCATTGCGCGAAATAAAATGTTCTACTAAATGTTAATTATATTAGAATATATATGATCATTTCGTGGTAAACAAATTATGTGTACAGCAATAACGACGGTTTTTTTCCAAGTTTATAAAACATAATATATTGCATTGATTAATAATATATATATTGTAATACAAAATTAAAAAATATTTCTCCCCTTTCTTTGATAAATTTAGTTAATATAAAAAAATAAAATATGAAATATCTAATTTCATATTCTTTTTAGACTTTTAATTTTTAGACCTTTAATTTTTATGTTGTAGAAATAAGCCTCTCTGTAAGTTGTATCTTTACTGGTGATTTGTCTTCGTGATCTAAGGACTTCAAGACTTTCACACAAATGACGAATTTTACTGAGAAGGGATTGCGTTATTTTTATCGAAGAGGTCAATAGCTCAGAAAATCTTTGATTCTATTATCTTATGTTTGTCTTAGATTAATGCATTAATGATTTCTTCGAGAACGTCATTCTTATTGGATATGAAACTCTCTACTTGTGGAAGCCATTTGTAGTAATAAGACAAAACGAAACGAGATCGCGATGACACGCAAAAGCGAAAAGAGATGGTCTTATCGGCTTGAATCTCATTACGACGTGAATAGATAATAGTATATATCGCTCAAGCTCAAGGTCATTTTAATCGTCAGCGGCATTAGTAACAGACGACGCATTTATAAGACAGAGTAATTCCACATGACTTCTCAGTACGATCGTTGTCAACACCTTGAGCCATATTGCGCTTCGGAAAGAAAACGCGAGGTCATCAATTTACCTCAGTTTCGTACAGAAAAGCGAGTAATTAAACATATTCTGAGTAACCGGTATTACTCGAATAATTCTTTATTAGAAGCGATAACGACAAACAACGATTAAAGTTATTAAAGTGCCGAGTTCGGAAAATAAAAAATATCTTTTTTAATATCTTCTTAAACCTTCATTGTAAATGTTTACAAGATCACACTACTTACGAGATTACAAAGTATTGAGACTTAAGCTTAAACTTCATTGGATTATTCAACAATTGAATAATTCTTCAAAAACAACATAAAACTACCATTGGATTACTTCTTCTCGCAAGTTAGTTGCTTGATTCATCAGAGCAACCACTCAATTAGTGATTCAAGAAAGACAAACTAAGTAGTCTCGGCGAATATTCATTCCTATTAAAGAATGAGGGGATCGTTGGTCATCCTATTCGTTTTGACGGTCATAACTGTCCATTCACCGGTGGAGGGGAAGATATTCGAGCAATGCGAAGCTGTAAAAGAGCTGCAGAAAGCTAAAATCAGTAGGTCCTTCTTCAGCAATTGGATCTGTCTGATGAAAAGCGAAAGTGGGATGAACACCACGCTGACGACTGGTCCAAAAACAGCCTCCAGCTATTCTTATGGTATACTTCAGATCAACAGTAACAAATGGTGCGCCAGAGGACGTACAGGTGGCAACTGTAATAAGCGCTGCGAAGACTTCCTGAACGATGATATACAGGACGATATTGCGTGTGCCAAGAAAATCCTCGATCAGGACGGATTCAAGGCTTGGGATGGATGGATGAAAAAGTGCAAGAACAAACCGCTACCGGACATCTCAAACTGTATACGTAGGAGAAGAATGGCCGAGATTGAGATCGATCCGATTTTGTGATGAGTGAATGATTGTAACGCTGTTGGACACATTGACTGTAATCGATACGAGGCTTAAATATTATTTTGCTTTTAATTTTCTCGCTTCTATAAAGTCTTTGCATCTCTTGTAATCTTTCACTTAAATTTTAGAAATTTATGTAATCGATTCCATCAAATTGTATTCCAACAGATTTATATATTTGATTCTATTAAAGGATCTTTCTAAATATACACATCGTACCCAACGAATGCAATAATAAAAAAGTACGTTAATATGCTTTATAAATATGGATCTAAACTGATTAGATCGGCACTACTTATGACTCATTACGTCCGTCTAAAACTCACGCTGCTTGGTTTAACAGACGACACTATATGCGAAATTGATTTAGAAATTCTGACTAGTTAGAATTACAAAACCGTACGTAATGAGATTTCATCGGTGTCTTTTCGATTTTATTTTTATAAGAAAATTACTTTTGCCCCCAAAAGAGAGAGGAGTTCATGCGTGAAATAAAATTGAAATAAAATTATTCTGCTAAGCGTTAATTACAACGCTTTATTATTAGAAAGCTGCATCTGATCATTTTGCTCTAAACAAATATCACCTTCAAATTATTTTTTTAAAAGATGATAAAAAATGTATGCCAAAAGTATACACTCAAAATAGTTATTAAATAATTATTGTATAAAACATAATATTTAATCTATCTATCTTTATAAAAGTAGTGACAGGTTAAAACAACGTTGTTTTGCACAATAACTATTTGATCTCTATTCTGATGATCACGGACACTTCGCGCGAAACCATCATATATGTATGTACTAACTGTAGCGACAGGCGTTTTTTTCCATAAACTTATAAAAAATAACATATTGCATTAATTAATAATATTAGTATAAAATTAGGAATTATTTCTCCTCTTTTTTCTGAGAAATGTAATTTATGCTATAACAAGAAATAAAATATCGCATACATTATTTGATTGACACATTTATACTTTTTATATTTTTAATTTTTATGTTGTATAATGAACTTCTTTATGAGCTGTCTGTCGCCAATTATCTTCATGAGCTAAAGAATCCAAGAATTCTAACTAATTGATTCTATTATCTAGTCTTTGATTTTATTATCTTATGTTTGTTTTAGAAAGCGTTAATGTGTTCTTCGAGAATCGTTCTATAGTAACAATAAATTGAGTAGGTTCATTAAGGTCCAGAAGGATGTTCTCCCCAAAAATCAAAATAAAAATGTAATATACAAAATAACTTGTAAAGACTGTGATGCCTCATACGTAGGACAAACAGGTAGAAAATTGATCTCTAGAATTACGGAACATCGGAATCATATCAATTGGAATACGAACTCACAGTCTGTTATCACGAATCACAGGATGGAATGGAATTATGACTTTGATTGGGAGAATATTCAAATTCTGGATCATGAGAGAATATTAAATAAACGACTAATTTCTGAAAAAGCGCATTTTTATGCAAAAAAATGGATTGAATTTGCGTTCTGACAGGGAAGGTTTACATCATACATATACGACGATGTTATGTGAACTGACTAATTAATTTATAGCTAAAAAGTTTTTTATTTTTCACATCTTTGACACACATAATTCATGACTAATATAATATGTAGCGAATAGTATAGTTAGCTTTTCTCTCTTGATTGTTTTGTTTTGTGTCTTTGTTGTCTGTTACAAATTATAAAATGTTCGGCAAACACGTTACATTATTCGGAGATGTGAAACTGAAATTAACTAAATGTATATAATAAAGATCAGATTTAATTGTTGTTAATATAAACTTACAAAGCTTATGAAACATATTGAGTGTTCCGTTTGAGGTGAGTTACTTAGATTTTTTTTTTCTTTCTTTTGATAAATCAATTTAATTTTGATATTTCAATCAGGATCCACTATAGTCGGGAACCTGTAAGTGACTCAGGTTGACGGAATACTCAACATATTAATTACACATATGTATTGCTGAGGAGGACTCCAAAGTGAGTAGAAACGTTCAATAAAGAGGATTCTACACATTAATGATTAATTAAGATTGAAATTAATCGTTGGCACCTTCATCAGCCCGTGACTCGTATAGCCTTTACGGATTGTATTATTATTATTTTTATTCTTCGAAAATGTCATTGTCGGATACAAAATTCTCATAAAAGCCATGGAATATCCGCAATAATAAGCTGAGGTGGGGCGAGATCGCGACTCAATGCGCAACAGCGGAAAGCGAAAAGCGAAATGACGGTTTTATCGCGGCTTGTATTTTTTATTATTAGCGTTAGTAAATAGCATATATCGCTCAAGCTCAAGGTCATCTGCGATTATCCGCGATATTAGCGGCAGACGTCGCGTTTATAAGACGGATTTCCGCATAAATCCTCAGTGCAATCGTTGTCAATAACTTGTACCACGTTACGCATCGGAAGAAAAACGTGAGATTATTAATTTATCTCAATTTTACGAATGGATAGGCGGATAATTAAAAACATTCTGAGCCGGGTGTTATGCAAGCATAATTCTTTATCAGAATCATTAACACTGAACAACGTTTCGGTTAAAGTTATTAAAGTGCTGATTTATTAATAGAAGTGCCAGACGGATTAATAGAAATGAAGAATATCTTCATCGATTTTTAATATCTTCCTAGACATTAATGTAAAAATCTGTCTGTAAGATTAGAAAGTATATATTAAGACATCATTAGATTATTCAACAATTTAATTATTCTTCAAGAACAACATAAAGTAGCCGATGGATTACTTTTTCTCGCAAGTTGATTGCTCGAACAACCGCTCAATTAGTGATTTAAGTAATCGAGAAAGACGATTTTAATACTTGCCAAATAGTCTCGGCGAATATTCATTCACGTTATAAAATGATGGGTTTGTGGATGATCCTGTTCATTCTGATGATTGTAACTGCGCATTCGCCGGTGGAGGGAAAGATATACACACAATGCGAGGCTGCAAGGCAGTTAGCGATAGCCAGAATCAGTAGGTCCTTCATCAGCAACTGGGTCTGCCTGATGAAATACGAAAGTAGGATGGACACGCACCTGGTAACTGGTCCAAAGAGAGGTTCCAGCTATTCTTATGGTATCCTTCAGATCAACAGTGCCGAGTGGTGCACCAGAGGGCATAGAGGTGGCAAATGCAATAAGCGCTGCGAGGACTACCTGAGTGATGATATACAGGAAGACATCGTGTGCGCCAAGAAGATATTCGATCAGCACGGATTCAAGGCTTGGGATGGATGGGTCAAGAATTGCAAGAACAAACCACTGCCGAACCTCGCACACTGCTTCCGGCAGAAAAGAATGGCGACCAAAATCGAGACTGATTCTGTGATGATTGGGTGATTGCGACGTTATTTGACACATTGACTGCAATCAATACAAGACTCAAATTAATTTTACTTTTAATTTCACTGCTTGTAATCTTTCACGAATTAAATTTTACTAACTTACATAATTGATTCCATCAAATCATTTCAACAGATTGCGTATCTGTTTCCATTTAAAGGATTCATCTAATTGCGCGCACCGTACCTGTTGATCGTAATAAAAACAAAGTACGCTGTATGTTTTATAAATATGAATCTAAACGGATTGGATCAACGCCACTTATGATGTAATGCTTTACAGCCATCTTAAACCCACGTTGCACAGCTTGACAGACTACGCGAAATGGTTTAGAAATTCCGACTGTTAGAATCGCAAAACTGTACGTGATGAGATTTCGCTGATGTCTTCCCGATTTCATCCCTTTATACTCATGTTACGTGTGCGGCATTCAAGAAGATCGTTTTTGCTCCCAAGTCCGAGTGTCATATTTACGACATTCAGAAATAAGATGGACAAACCTTATGTAACTAAATATCTCTGTGTTGAAGTATAAGGAAGCTTATATATATATATATATATATATGTTTATATATATATGTATATAAGCTTCTTTATATATAAGCTTGTAAAAATTTCTTAAAGAGAAGGATGTATATAGAAATGTTACAATACAAACCAATAATTTCATAAATAATAATATATATAGCTAAATAATATAAATCTTAAGCCAGATAATATACAAAAATATAAATTTTTTTAAAATAAATTTATAATTGAACTATTGCTTATACTATATTATTAAACTATTATTTATATATTATTATAGTTATATATATATATATATCAATTATTGTATATAAAAGTCTCTTAAAATAAAAAGCAATATTATGTCTGTAACTATAATATAATATAAATTAATGTTATATGGAATTAGCTTAATATTAGATATTTATATTGAAATATATATTGAAATATATATACGTTATGAAAAAATAATAAGATAACTATATAACTATAAAAATTATATAATAAAATAAAAATGTATTATGAAATAGTAAAACAAATAAAAAATATTATATATACCTATATTCGTTAATTAGTTAATTCACTGTACTGTAAATTGTTACAAAAGATTTATATGTGTATATAATTTTTTAAATATTTCTAAGGGTTTATAAAATTTTCAAAATTTCTTATAATTCAGAGTTTTCAACTTGAAATTATTAAAAAATTACCTCGTAATAATTAAAAGTAATGCTTGATTTTTTTACGTAAAATTCTTGTTTGTTTATAAAAAATTTGTTTATAAATTTATTCTAAAGATGAATTGCAATAATTAGAAATAATTCTAATAATTTCGATGTACCATCATCATACAATAAAATTTGAGCGATTTATTAAACAAGCAACTGTATTCGCATGGGAATTTCGCGAATCGAGATATTACGAAAATACAGTTACATTGAGATTCGAATTTCAAAGAAGTGATATCAATCTTCAAGGCCGCGAGATATAAAAATCGGCGAACTTCTGATCTTTACGTAATGCGTGTCGCATGTTCCTCTGATTAGTTGCTCTTCTGAATTTGATATCAAGGTCAATGACAGATTCCGATTTCTCAGCTTCTTATAAACTGTGTTACACATCTGTAATGTCCCGTTTATTTTTATTTGTACGAAATAAATTCTGTGTTCCAGATATTTTCGAACGACTGAATAACGACGTCGTAAAATTTTATGTAAAATTTTATTTCGTAAAATTTTATTTCATAAAACAGTGCAATAAATAATTTTAACAAGAGATAAAAATGAAATTTCGTTGGAAAATTCTAATAAAAGAACAGCTAATTTTCTAGAATTCTAGGAAGAGAGCTCTCTTCCTAGAATTATTAATTCTAGGAAGAGCGCTCTCTTCTGATGAAATATTTCGTATTTCGAGGCATATTACGAATCGAGGAAAATTGCGATTACGATCTAAGCGAATAGAGAAAATAAACTTTCTTAAGTATTCAGGAATCCCTCCCGCGTTTCTGTCTTTCTCTCTCGAAAATCGATTGAATCATCTGCTTAGATTTGTACATATGATGCATAATATGAAGCGCGAGATAGTGAATGCATGACTCTGTGTGTGTATACGTGTGTTGTATATACGTGAATTGCATAACGGAGTATTTGAGGAGTGAAAGATTCGAAGTCGATGTCTATATAATCTAAGAATTCTTGGTCCCGTAGAATTTTGATTGAAATAAACTCGCCGATCAGCGATTATTCTCTATATCTCTCCATGATTTCTCGAAAGCACTTTTTTTTAGGACCTCTCGCTGTATGATTGCATAACGTTTTGCGTGCTATGATTTTATGGCTCCAATAAGTCTACATTATTTATAATAAAGAAAATTGAGATAATCCGTATCGATCCGAGTCTGTCTTCCCATCATCACTGCCAATCGCTAACGGAGCGCTGGCGTGTTCGACCTGAGCGACGCGCGCCATGAGGATGCACGTAAGTGCATTTTATCATAGCTCCCGGCTACAGTGCATGCACCTTTCACTAGCGGAAGTGAACAGCTGAGAGGCAGACGCGTGAGAGCGACCCAGGTCATTATTCACTCGTTACGGGCGACCGCTTCGTGCGAGCTGAGGCATCGCGAAACGCACGCTTGAGTCGGTTGTCGACCGACCGTTAAGTTGGAGTCAAGAGTCGGCCAATTATCGATTGACTTATCACTAATGGCTGCCATATTCTTTCGTTGTTCCCTCCTAATGGAACAACAATTTTATTGTGCCCGCATTGTATTAACTTATAGAAACTTGTAAGGTGACACTATAATTTTTTTTTATTTAAATTTCTTAAAGTCCCTTTAATAATATTTTAATAGTGTTTAGAAAAATTATAAGTAAGACTTCTTGATACTCTATTTTGTCCTTATTTAGAAAAATCTGCTCCTTTATTTGTATTTATTCTTAACTTCCTCACTCGATTTACCAAATCTCTCCAGGATTTCGATAAAACCAGACAATAAAATTGACTTTTACTTTCTTATCAGTACGTCACTGTTTGACGATCAGTTTGTCAGAAATTCACTGATTGGCATCGCGATTGAAGAGGGTTCGCGCGTCGACGAGAAAATTGCGATTCGCGCATTAAAAGCGGAATCTCTTCAGTATCATGCCGTGGTAATTAATCCCGCAACATGTTGATGAATATACGGATGTACGAAGTAAAGGAACAGAGCGCGAAGACTCGAAGAGCATGTTGCGCTTTCTCAGCGACTTATGATTGCGCAATTGCGCGAAGATGGATATACACACACGTATACGCACACATGCGCACGCACATACTGTAACGAGTTTCTCATTGGTGTGATCCGAGGTTTCGCCTGTGAAAAGATGCGATTAATGGTGAAAAAAGCACTATCGTCGATTTATCGGGGGAATAAAATTATATAGGAAGTAAATCTAGACTCTTTCTCTCTCTCTCTCTCTCTCTTCTTTTTTCTTATTTTCTCTTTCCTATTCGAAGCGCGCTGTAACTTCGCCACTTAACTGCTATTGCTATTATCTCCGATCTTCTTTCGATACCAACCATTTATTAATAATTACGAGCAATTACTATCCCTGCTATTTTTCATTATTTCATGGAGTTCCAATTTAATGTCTACCTGCCAACAATTCGGGCCATATAATCTTGGCCAGTTTCGATGCTTTAGACAGTTTAAACAGAAGAACATTATATCTATGTTTATGTTTGTGGTGATAATATAATTTCAATAAGACTAAGTATTCCTAAAAAAAAAAGATAATTATGTTTTTTTTTTAAGAAATATTTCAGTGTCATAATTAAAAAAATTTTAAATAAAAATCGTTAAATTGTAACGTGATTGTCATCGTAAAATAAAAGTAAAATAATGTTTCATCAAATTTATAGCCTATATATGTATTTAATTCTTCAACTTTGGGATCGCTCTGCACAAAGAAAGATAGCTCCTATTGCATTAGAAGATATTAGAAATACGAAAATTAACCTTCCAATTGTCTAGTGCTTTTATCTGCGGTCATCAACGGGTTGGGTTTATAATTAATTATTCGGCGCTTGTATATCTCGACAGAAATCTCTTCACATATGCACATGTATGTGTCTACAATCGCGAATGATTCACGAAGAACCTAGACCCCCCAGGACGATCTCTTCCTCTTCAATGTAAGGCTGCTTTTACTCCGTTCCCTTTAATGACTAACGAAGCCATACTCGCCGTTAAGTTATTCATCAGCCGCAGTCCAAGAAGTTGATGATGTCCGCGAAACAATAGGGGACTCGTACCGATTCCCTCGTCTGGTGCATAAACGTCGTTTGCAGCGATTATTAATTTCGCTATAACGCGGGAAGAAGGAAGCAGCGAGTTAATAATCCCAACACTGCACTGAGGGAATTGGCGTCCGTGCGATGAGAGTGCCGGCTGTGTCGGTGAAACTCGAGCGTAGTCTCGGCGACCTCTGCAAAGGTCGCTCTTCTTGCTTCCCGAGGAAAGTGAGGCCCGAATAAAGTGCAAGTGGAAGCGGGTAACATCGTAATTGCTCGGCGCAAAATCACTTGATCAGCGATTCGAGACAATGATAGACGCTTTGCACGGAGACAAGAGATACTTCGCGAATGTAAAGAGAATCGTAAAATGTGAACCAATTAGCAAAATCTTTTGCTGAAAACTCAATTCGGTAAATGGATCATTAATTAAAATTAATCGATGAGACGCCATGAATTTCGCACAGTGTTTTGGTAGTTTAAAAATAAGCACAAAAATTGTCACAAGGCTAAGAGCGCACGATAGACAAAGTGTCGTTTATAGAAAATCCATTGGCAATGTATGTAATCGCGCAATGAATACATGGAAAACGTTTAACTGAAAGATTTAAAATTTTACTAGAGATAGATCTGAAGATATTTTGTTGAACCATCAAAATAATTTTATTGGAAATTCATAAATAATAAAAGCAATGCTGCAAAAAATGTTGATATTCAATCAGTTTTATAACGACACAATTTTAATTGTTTTCTATAAACGATACTTTATCTATATTGTGTTGTTGCCCTTACGATAAATCTTTATGTGTCGAATTATGATTCTGTCATAAACAGTTACGACAAATTGCAATAATTTTTGAGCTCAGGCCCTAACGCGTTTGATCAAAGTGATTTGCATTACATTGAAAGTTTCGACCAAAGACTTTGATGAAACTAGGCGCAATTCTGTCGAGGGATTAGTTTAGAAACGCGGACGGACCGCGCAGGCGACATTATTACGCTATCAAGTAGTTGCTCAATCGTTAAGTAAACGCGCATCTTGAATCTTCAAATTGATGTAACGAAAATCACCGGCCATTTGATTCGATTTTATCATTAAATACGATGTAGTGGAAAATTTCACAAACGTCCTGTCCGCACATTGTACACGCTGCTTCGCATAATATATATAGATAAAATGTTGTAAAACCCCTGCAGTTATTTTTTATACTACTTCTACGAATTTCTTCTTAGAATTAGCTGTTTTGTTGAAAAAA